TCAACTTGCCACAATTTAGATGACCAAAAGGAGCTGCAATAAAACCAACTTCATGTGTGAGTGAGTCTCCGCCGGCATCCAGAGAGTGCCAGCGACAGAGAGAGAGAGAGAGAGAGAGAGCCACACACACACACACAGAGCAAGCAACACAGAGAGAGAGGGAGAGAAAGAGAAAGCAAGCGTGTGCGAAAGAGAAAGGAATTGGCTGCGAGTGCAGCCCGCAGCTCTGCAACAGGGGCAATAAAAACAACAACAGAAAATCGTATGCAACATGCAATAATGCACTTGAAGTGCGAGGCAGGAGCAAGGAAGGATCCTGCATTGCAGGAGGAGGCAGACACAAAAGCACACAGAGAAGTAGTCGTTGCTTCTTTTTTTGTTTTGTTGTCTCTTTTCGGCTTATTTTTAGAAGTTATGCCTACAACTCCCCACCGCCTCACCCATAACTCACAAGCGCCACCGTTTATTTACTTGATCAGACTCGTAACTTTTACATAGCAGGACCAGGACCAGGAGCAGCAGTAGCAGCAGCAGCTGTTCGTGGAGGCTCAGCACGTGCAGCAAGCAACTAGCCATAAGGGAAGGCAGCTCAGCTCGGCTCACACCCAGCTCATTGTGCGTTGCAATGCTGCCTGCATTCATGATGACCATGATGATGATGATGATAAGCACGATGAGGCTGTCTGGCCAGGCCGGTGGGCGGTTGGAGTTGGGCAGATAGGCTGCAGCTGCACTTCTTTATCAACATCGTCGGAGTCGTCGCCGATGTCGTTGTCGTTGTCGGTGTCGTGAACGTGGTGCGTTTGGTTGGTCAGCTGCACATGTCGGTGTGGGTGTTGGGGGTGTGTGTGTGTTTGAGTGTGAGTGGGTGGGCTGACCCCAACGGAAGTGTGGTCGCGTAGACATTGTGCGTAGAGTCCAAGCATCAAGTTTTTTCTATTTCTTGATGCGCCGCTTTTTTGACCACCCACCCACGTTCAATGTGTGTTCAATGCAGTATATAGAATGCTTTTATATAGAGCATTCCACTCTCCCAAAACTTGTGTGTGTTTCTCTATGTGTGAGTATGAAATTCGCGCGCGCGAACTTTGTGCAAGGAAAAAAACTTATCACAGATACTTTTACATAGGACTAGGCATGTAGGATGGGTGAGTTTGGGGGGGCTTGAGCGCCTGAGATTCCACAGCAGCCCCGCTGCATTTTGCGCGTCTGGTGTCCTCTTGTGTTTTGTTTTTTTTTTTGGCGGTCGTTCCTGTTGAAGGAGGCGAACCCATGGAAGGGGTGGCGCAGTCCATGTACGCGTCGTGCTCGTCCGTGTTATGTTTTGTGTGCCGTGTGTTGTATCGTTGCTAACTGGATAGCTGGTCGCTAGTTGATGGAACGCCGAACGCATTGCAACAGATCTATCGGCATCGGGCGTGCGGGTAGTTGGCATACGGCTTTTGGACGTCTTTTGAGTGCCACCATTGCCTTTTTTCCTACACATATATTCTCGGCTCGACGCACCGAGCAAAAGGACACTAAACGCAGCAGCAACGGCAGCAGTTGCCGAGTGGCTAACGGTAAAACGGGCAACGTCAGCGCTCGAAACTTTCCGTGAGAAGTCCTGGCAGAGACAGAGCTGGTCCAAGTCGTCGACGGTTCGGTTCATTTTCGGACTTGCTTATTTTCTAAAAATACTTATACACACACTCGCATTCACACATAGAAAGCCCCATATTATTATATATATAATATATATATATAATATATATATATATAATATATATATATATATATAAATATATATATGGATGCAAAGTGCGCGCGCGTTTAACGCCCCGAAGCCACCCTTGAATCGGGCGTTGAGTTTTGAGTGCCATCAAATACTATTCATATACAATAAATGAAATAAAATATATATGAAATGAAATATATATATAAACATATATATATGTGTGTATTTATATAAATATATATGTGTATATACATATGTTTGAGTGGCCACGAATGTAGGCGAGTGTGAGTGAGTGTGAATTACAATAACAACGGCCTATTCTAATGCAATAACTTTGGAATACTGCAATACAAGCAATCAAAATAAATCAACTCTCATCGTCAAATTGATTTTTAATATTTAATAGCGACCAATGAAAAATAACAACAACAACAAACAACATCCCTAAAATCGAAAAAATAAACAGCGACAAAAAAAGTTAAAACATTTAACGTTAAATATTTAAAACCAAATCAGTATAAATCGAAACAAGCTTTTTGACAAATAATTTAGAGCCAAAACTTTCGTAAATCACTTTCGAAGTCTGCGTCGTCGTCTGCTCACCGTTTAAGTTAACCCCCCATCCAAATGGCTGCCTCCACATTAAAAACTAAACCCTTTCCAACTATCAAATACAAAGTTGAAGCAAATTATTTGTTTTAGTTCAATAACAACAATAACAGCAAGAGAAACAAAGTCAAAGATATTTGAAATCGATTGCGTTCTCATGTACGCATACAAATTGAAACTGGTGCAATTCGACAGATACTTTGATACATTGCAATTGCCAGAGACACCAAGTTGGGATCGCATAGATCTTTCGCATTGTTCGAATCGCATTCTGTTAACGGCGACGGCGACGCAGACAAAAATGCCAAAACTGGCAACGCGTTGCGCACCGCAATCAACGAACTGCCGCTTCAGACTGCCAGCATTAGCTGTGGACCCGAGAGAGAACAACAACATTGCCATGGATAAATAACATCAGTAAATTGTCCTGTAGGTGAAAGTCTTAATGAATTTTATTTCTATTTTTGAATTTTTTTAAGCATTTGGGCTTAAGCTCTTCTCAATTTTCCTTACCATGAGATTTTCCTCAGCTGATTGTCAATTTAAAAAAAAAAAACAAGTCTTCTACCCTAATAAAAAATCAATGATTCATTGTACAAAAAGCATCGATTTCTTACAAAATATCATTTTAATCTTTTTGAGCATTTAAGCTGAAGGTTTTTTCAGATTTTCTTCCCATAAAGTTTTCTCTATTTGAATATAAATTTCAAAAGGAAAGGAAAGTTTTTATTATGCAAAATTTATTAGAATTTTTAGTTTAGTTTTCTTTTAAGAAGTAAGAAAATTGTGAGTAGGATATATACATAATTAATATCATTTTTATTAACTTGAACATATCGTGTAGATAGATATAAGAATTCTTTAGTTTTATTTATATATTTACTTTAATTAAATATTATTATTATTCCAATAATATTATTATTCCATTTCCGCAATAATTTCCTTGCAAATTCAAAAACTACTTGTTAGCTTCCTTTGCAAATCCCAACACGTGCTCGCCGCCTTTTTATATGCTGAAGTAGAACATACTAAAAAGAAGGGTTATGGTTATACAACTACACACATATGTATGTATTTACATACACCTTGAAACAAATTCCAGTTTATTTTTAAGCATAGAAAAGAGTTTAGCTTAAGTGTGAGAATTTCCCCATTGCAACTTTCGCCGCGACTTTCTCAGCAGCCGACGGCTAAATGTCAAAGGCACACACACACTTACACACTGCATATATTATCTACGAAATGTATCTAAACTAAATCAGCAGCATTAAAAGAGCATCGACTTGGTTTCACTTTGTTTCATCTTAAGAATTAAGGCAACTGCTGCCTATCTGAAGGGGTTGCTTCAGATGCCCCCGCACACATACAGTCAGACACACTCACACACACACATACACACACAAACCGACAAAGACTCATTGCTCATACTCCATTTTGTTCTATTGCCCCAACGCGCAGTCGCTGTCGACGTCGCAGCTGACTGTGCAGCTGGCGTCGCTGCTGCTGCGACTGGCTGCCCCTCCATGTATTTGAAATGCGCACTAACTCTAGCTCAAAGAGAGAGTTTTTCTGTGTTCCCCCCTTCTGTGTACTTGTATGTGTGTATATCCTGTTTTTGCATTTATTTTATTGCCTGTGGGTGAGGGCAGCGCTGCCAACGATGTTATTTGTAAAAAAAACACCCACCAAGGGGTGTGGGGGGCTTTGGTTGGGGCTTTGTGTTTGCTGTTGCTGCTGCTGCTGCTGGCTTTGCAAATCCACAGCTGCTACCCGATGTCCTGCCAATGTCCTGTGCTCGCGTATTTTTTCGCGGCTGCAGCGGGAAACACAATTTTTTTGCAATCGTTGTTGCTTTTGCTTTTGGTGTTGTTGGAGCTGCCTGCCAATACATGTATGCTCACTCACACACACATCCAGACACACACACACACACACGTATACAGACTGTGATATGCGACGCGGCAAACGGCGTCGTCCTCGGCCTATTCGCGGCGAAATAATTTTTCGCATTTTTAGTACAAAGCTTCACATCAACGTCGTCGTACAAACAAATTTTTATTTTCGGATTTTTCAATTACGTTTTCATTTATTTTTAAGTATTAATTTTGCGTGCACTCAAAAAAACAACAAAATACAAGCAACAAAAAAAAAAAAAAAAAAAAACATAACAAAAAGAAACAAAATCATTCAAAAATTATTCATATATGTGTATATTGTACATGCATATCGAACTCTATCCTTGAACAAAATCAACAACAAACAAAAGCCAAGACACTTTTCAGAAAAGAAAATTGAAAAAAAAACATAGTAAATTGTTTGCAAACATTTTGCCGGTTTTGAAAAAGCTAATAATAAAAAAAAAACGCTAAGTCCGAAAAAATTTAAAAGTGCAATTTCGATCAAGACATATATCTCTGAAACTCGATCTCGACTAGTTACCGGAAGAAACTCTCAAACTGTTCCCAAGTATATTTAGTTTCGACTATTTGCATTTACGTTGAACGCTCAAAAGAAGTAATCATAAACATTTTAGTTTGTAAAAAAAAAAAAACAAAAACAAAAAACTAAATGAAAAAAAAAGAAACAAGAAAGACAAAGGAAAAGAAACTACAAAATACGAAATTCAAATGTTAAATCAAAAGTACAAAGCAAAAAGATAGTTGGCAACATTTTTATAAGTATACACGTATTATTATAATTTGTATATATGTATTTTTTATACGACAACATCGCGAACAACAACACGACAAACAACAACAACACCATTTTCTACAACAAAATGACACACGTGATGCTCTGAGACTCGACGAACTGGTAAGCAAATTGTGTGCGTGTGTGTGCGAAATCTCTGTGTGTTAGAATTTAATGAACATTAGGAGAAATCAGGCAGAACAACAGCAACAACAATGCCACAAAATATACTCCCGCACTCAACAGTCGTTGGTTCTGCCGGCCAACTTCTCCTTTCAATTGCAGACAACTCACTTCCCAACACACGTTTACAAACCACGCTCTCACTTCGCTCTCTCCCTCGGCACGAAGACTGCACTGCCTTCGTGCCTTAAGGCAACAACAGTTTTCGGCTACTTCGTGCGCCGCTGCTTTCTAATTGCGTCCTCTCTCCAGCTGCCTACAGTCTGTGTGTCTGTCTATGTGTGTGTGTGAGAGTGCATTATATTAGCGTGCAATAGCAGCAGAAGCAGCAGCAGCAGCAGCAACACATCGGCGCTATCATCGTTATCGCCATCCTTCGGACATCGGCTTGTGCGGGTGTCTCTCTGTCTCTGCGTGTGTGTGTGTGTGTGTGAGTGCGTCTCTCTTTAGCCGGCCTGCTGCTTGCTTGCTGCCTGCTTCTTCTAGTTCATCTTAAGCTACGCGCGCGTACGGTTCGCCTCGCCGTTCGTGCTCGTCGGTTTACTTGTCGCCTCGTCTCGCCTAGCTTCGTGAGTGCGCTTCGTCAATCGGCTCTTTCTTTGCTGTATGTCTTCGTATAGGTACGTGTGTGTGTGTGTGTTTGTGTGTGCTGTGCGTGTGAGCAAGCGCACACTTACTTGCACTTACTGCCGTCTGCGTATAGGAAATTATCTGCTGCTGCTGCTGCTGCTTCGCTGCTGCTTTTGCAGCTGCTGCTGCTATGGCTGCTGTTGCTGCGACGACGTCGTCTAATACATATATAAATAATATATATTATTATATAGATATATGCATATATTTAAATGCGCTCTTCGTGTCTCTCCGTGTATATAGAAAAAACAAGCAAGCCAGCGTCGGCGTCGTTAGGTAGGAGCAAGCAAGCCAGCAAGTAAGCAACGACGATGATGACGACGTTGCTGCCTGCTTGCAAGAAAGTGTTGCATACTTATGTGGGCACAACGTTGACGTCGCAGCAGCAGCAGCAGCAGTAGCGGCAGCGCCTTGGTCTTTTAGGTTTTCGGCATTTTTGGCCAAGCCAAGCATTTTACTTTTATATTGTAGAATACAAAATTCAGTACGTTTCTAGTCACGCGCGCTGGCAGAAGTTTTGCTTTGGCGTTTCTGTCTTCATCTGACGACGTTGACGAACGCCGCCTCGACTTGTGTAAAAAATGCATACAATTTATTCAAATTAACTTATCAAAATAATCAACTGACAAGAAAATAAGAAAACAATTTCAACTATTTAAACAGCATCACGTAAAATTCTATGCAAGCATATAGTGCATTAGCAACCGTTAAATAAATTTAAATTCATTAAATAATAATGTAAACAATCAATTTAAAAAATTATCAATTAACATCATAATAAAACTAAATATCTTCATAAAATAAAATAAATAATAAAAAATAAGAACAGAAGTAAATTATAATTTGCAAATGTTTCGCTGCTGATTGTGGTACGTGAGCGCTAATGTCGTTGTTTGAAATTGAAGTTTGAAGTCGAGATGAGTTTATTTGTTGCCTACTTCAAGGCGGTCGGCAGATAGGCGCTCGATTAGCCAACCAACGGAGCAACCACACACACAAATAAACAAACACACACACTGCCGCACACACACACACACACACACACATACACGCATTCTCAAACACTTGCGGCTGTTGCTGGCATTGGTGGTAGCCAAAGTTGCGCATACGACAAGTTGTCTCGCGGTTTCACTTGCTGCGCATTGGCAGCAACTGCGTCTTGGCTTTGTTGGGGTAAAAACTTGGCCGGAAATTATCTAAAAAGTACCCAGACAGACAAATCCAAAGTGTAGCAACTTTGATTCGCCGCAGCGCTGCTCAACTTTGTCAGCAACTGACTGTGGTTTGGATTTGCACAGAGTCACACACATACTTATATAGTTGAGATACCCATACAAAAACCCATACACAAACACACTCTCACATAGATGCTTTATTTTATATAAATACTCTCCGACACACAAACAGACACAAATTGGGTTTCACGAGACGAATATAAAAGCATTTGGCCTTCGTTTCTTGTGAGACATTCGATCGTCTTGGCTCGCAACGTCAGCGTCGTGGCCTCTCAGGCCAGAGCAACAGCAACATAGTCAGCAGCAAGCAGCCAGCAGCACCCAGTTAGACAGGCAGCCAGCCTTTGGTCAGTTGGTCAGTCAGGTAGTCAGTTGTAGTTCGGCTAACGCAGCATTCACTTCGTGGGTACGTCTGAGGATGTTGTCTAAGGACACTTGTCTTCTTGGCGTATTTTGTACGACATCTAATTTTTAGCTCAAAAAGGTTGATAGCAAGTACTATGAATAATTGATGGCATTATTTGTATAATCTTCATAACTGATAATATTTAAATGACTGTACTAAAGTGTCGAATACAAAACAAAAATAGTTCCGGGATATTAAGATTTTAGAATATTTAACAAAATACAATAATTCAAATAATGTGATTGAAAACGACTTGAACTTAAAAACAAAAAGTGTAGTCAGCTTAAGAAATAAAATTCAAAAATATCCAAGCAAATGGAAAATTTTTCCATAAGCTCCCATAATCATAAAAATAATTTTATTCTGAAAATATAAAATTGTGTAATTTGTATATTTTAAATACTAAAAAATGTTCACAATAAAAATTCCAAACTTCTAGTTACATTTTAGTTATTAAAATAATTTTTCCACTGTCATCATTAATATATTTTTTAATTGTCTTTAGAACTTCCAAACTTTAAAAGATAACAATTAAAAAGTAAGAATAAAAAAAAATAATCTACATTAAAATAAAACTCAAAAGCGCTGCGGCAACCAAATCAAATTTTCTAACAAAATTTTCACATATATAAATCATGTTAAAGATATAACTTAAACAAACAAAATTAATAAGTGACAAAAATATCAAACCTCAAAAAATGAGTTCAACATTTTCAATATGATTTCAAATATGAGCTTATAATAAAAGTGTAGTCCAACCTTTGGCAGTGATGAAGTGAAAGCAAAAAGCAAACCGTTTAAAATGTAGCATTCAACGCGGCTGTGCCTTAAATATTGTTTTTTGTGTTGCCACTTAATCAAAAAAAAATAAATAAATAAATGAAAAAAATATATAGATCAAAACCCAACGTGTTTAGTGAAGCCCGCTCTTGACCCCGAAGTTGCCCGCAGCGCTCCTTTGACGTTTGTGTGTCTGTCCCCTGTCCTCTCAATGAAAATTTATTCGCAAATTTTGTGTTCTAACGAGCCGGCTACAAAAATGTGCCACCAACTACGCCAGAAAGCAACGCCTCAACAGCAGGCACAGGCAGAGGTAAAGGCACAAGCACGAGAAGTGCAACTGCCACTGCCTATGCAACTGCCACTGAAATTGCCACAGCCAGTATCAGTGGCAATGCCGCTGGTCGGTGTCCAGTCAATGGAGGCGCCACGGTGGCAACCAAGCAGCAGCCAACGCTGAACCGCATCGCAGTTTTCACTGCCCACGAAATCGCCAATGGCTATGTAAACTTAAATTAAGGGTAAAATATCGCAAATGGTATTGGTGCAAAAACAAAAAAAAACAAACAAACAAAACAAAAACTGAAAAATCCAAAATAAACATTTCTATAATATATAAACTAGTAAACCTTTGAACTATGGAATGATATGAGATATGTTTCTTTAGAGCTTCGAAGGCAGCCATTAATATTTAATTACTTAGAAGTTTGCAATCGCAATACAAATAAACTTAATAGAAAAGCAGCAAGAGTAATTTGAATTGAATTTTTTTATTTCCTCATTTAAGAATAGTTAAATATTAGTTAACCAGATTTAAGTTACAAGGCACTTGGTATTATTAAATTATTATTTTCATATTTTTACTCAACAATAGAAGTAATTGAATGTCAGCATTAATCTTTAAATCTCACTATAAATCAAATTATTTATAACTATAATTTAAAACAAATCAAATTTGCGTTTTTATTTTGCACACTTGCAGCTTAAAATAATTGCAGCAATACTTAATGCCAAGTGGCATATAAATATTAATCCGATCAATACATAAATATATTGAAAAATTAAAAGAAATTGGAAAATGTTGTTTAGTCGCAAGTGTAGCTTCATCTCCAGTTCAAATCCTTTGCATAACACAATTTGTATTTGTTGCAGCTTAAAAAATGACCAAACGCAAGATCAAATTACTAATCACAAAATTCTTTTGCGCCATGTGCAATTGTTTGCTTTCTACTTGCAGGTTACACCATATCGAGAAGTTATCCAATGAGAAAGCCGCTTAAATTTTGGTAAGTACCCCATACATTTAAGGGAATCCCCCTATTATGTTTAGACTGACCAAAGACTTGAAAGTCTTGTCTACAATTCAAATTCTGGCTTTTGTGCCTGAGTGGACTTCATTTTTTAATTAGAAAGTCAACACACACAAAGTGTGGCATGAGCGATGAGGGATGCTGCAATCTCGCATATATGTGAAGAGAGGCGCCTTTGTAAGCTCTCACTCCTGGCCCCTTTTTGTTTGGCTTTGTTTACTCTTATTTGTGTGCTACTTAAGATGAAATGGCAAAGAAAAGTGACGTTGATGCAGTACACGGAATGGATGAGAGAATTGGTTGAGTTCACACATTGTGAATGGGTTGGGGCGGTTTTCTATACATCGGCTCGGCTGGATGGATGGACTAGCCGGTGTCCGTTTTAATTTTAGGTACTCTTAACGCAACGTTGACTGCCGTTTCTTTTCATTTATTCCTCTCTGTCTGTCTCGCTCTGTCTGTCTTTGCCTCTTTATCGTTTATATTGCAATATGTGTGGGATAGAAAAATTGAAGACGAGGCGATTGAGTGTGTGGGGCAGGCGCCGCCTCTTGAGGCAGACGCAACAGCAACAGCAACGGAAGCGGAAATTGCTGAAGTTGCATCTGTATATGTGCCTGTGTCTCAGTCTAGTGTGTGTGTGTGTAATGATGCGCCATGTTATCCTTCTGCTGCCAACAGACGCAGTTAGTTGTTGTTGCTGTTGCTCTGTCATTGCTGCCGCCGTGCAACATTTACAAGCAGTTGCAATTATTTTCAGCTTAAATGACAAAATACAAGGAAACAAGTCTTAAGCATTTGCACCACCTATCCAAAGCCAGCCCCAAACCAGGCCTCGTTATTATTATTATTATTCTCGTGTTGTTTGCCTATTCTTGTTGTTATTTTTGCTGCTGGCTGTCAGGTCCTCCACACAAGTTGCCAACGTGTAAATGAGTTTTTTTCCAGCATTTTAAATACCCTACGTGTAAATGAGTTTTTTTCCAGCATTTGAAATACCCTATGTTACTTAAAAGCGAGTTAAATTGCGAGCGCACATAGATCAGTTGTAGACTTAAGCAATATGATCAAAATTTGTCTTTATATTTGAAAGAAACTTAAGGCAACACAATATTAACAATGTTCCTAACCTTTATGTCAAATATTTTAATTAATCAATTTAATCAATTTTATCACAGTGCACCGAAATATAAATGGCCAAATTTTCAAATATGTTTTATTTAAAAAAAAAATGTCGTTGCTTATCCTTAATAGTTAACACATTTCTATTTCTTTTGAAGAAATTGAGTTCGGTTTTTACTTGAGAATAAAATATTTTCATATTTGTTCGTCAGATATTTTATTGAATTTTACATACTTTAAAATAAAATAATTCGAATTTTTTAAACTCAATGTGCATATTTATATATAGTCATAGTAAGAAAATATGTTTGTATCTTTGACAGCAATTAAATGTGACTTTCATTTACAAATTAAATCATTCAAATGACGCAGAGTGAAATATTTCTGTATGAATGACATTTTATTTTTAATATTTTCATTAAAATGTGAATAAAATTTCAATTTATAAATATTAGTATAGCACACACAGCTTAATTGCACCATTGTGCAACTAATGTGATTGGTATCTTATAGTCGTTCAATCTTTCCTATTGCCTTGCCATTTTCTTTATCATGAACTCTGCACGACTCTCTACTATTGTTGTTGTTGTGGGTGTTGTTGGTGTTATTGCTATGTGTGTGTTTTGTTTAATTTAAACAGCGTGCGCCCAACTTTGGCCCGGCTGCTTGAGTCATGAGTCCTGCTCCTGCCCCTGCTCCTGTTGCTGTTACTGCCGCTTAGGCCTCTCATATGTGTGCCGGCACTTCTCGACCCCAGCCTGCGACTTTTTCTGCTGCTCTTGCTACTTTGCCAGTTTTCTTTTCATATTTGCCATGTGCAACAACAGCAACAACAACAACTTCTCATTTAGATGCTGCCTCCTCAGCTGCTCTTATGTCGGCCTAAGTAAGTGCACCTCAGGCTACTTATGAAAAATGCAAATTAAAGTTGACTTTTAGGCGCACAATGGTCTAACACAGCCAGCCACAAGTCCTCCATGTATTTTTTTTTTGCAAACTTGCAAAGTCTGTGTTCGGTTTTAAGAAAGTTTTGCACATTGAATATTTAGAACAGCGACCATTCTCTACTCTGCTCTGTCCATTTACTGATAGCCCCTCTATCTCTCCCCCCCCCCCCCCCACACACACACACGTGGCTCTTTTGTCATGTGGAAAGTTGGGACTGTTTCGCCATGCACTGACAACTCTGAAATAGCTGAGGCTACCATGGCCGGAAATCGTTTTAAGAACGGAAGTGAAAATTCTGGCATTAACATCACTCGCTGGCTCGGCAGCAGCAGCAGCAGCAGCAGCTGAGCGCAACCATCTAAATACACATCTAACATCGTCCATCTGGGGACCGCGTAATCTTCTATTGAAACTAAACAATAAAAAAATACTGAGCGCGACTACAACGCAAATTCATTCAATTGCAAAAAGAAAATTACCCTAAAAAACGCAGAGCAGCAACACAGACAGACAGACAGACAGATAGACAGTGGCATCTACTACTAAAGCTAAACTACAGCAACAAGTCGTTATGATTATCTAGAATTAAATAAAGCACACATACACACACACGCACACACACAAAACAGACATAAGTCTGGGTCCAACTCAACAAAAATAACCAATGGCAATCGTTCACTTGAGCGTTGGACCAAGTTGCACGCCTCGCTGAGCAGAAGCCGCGTCCCCGACCCGAACCACTCTGATCTCCCCTGCCCCTAGCCCCACACCCCCCTCTGTTCTTCTGCCCATCCCAAATTCAAATGCTCCCAAACGATCGCGAGCGCTATTCGCTTTGGAAATTAAGTCAGCAAATGACTTGTAGAATATCAACACATGCCCAGCCAGCTACTAGTTCTCTTGTCCATGTATCTGTGAGATTGTTTTGTGTGTTTTATTTTTTTATTTTCGTATTTCGGACATGAGCTGGCGACAGCAACAGCAACAACAACAGCAGCAGCAACCAGCCGAGCAACAAGATAATCAAGTGTAATTTATTTCGTATTTGGTGCGCGCCATGCATGAGTAAAACGACTACGACTAAGTACGAGTATGAGTATATAACGATGAATACGAACATCCATCTGACTATCTAGTATCTCGAAACCCAAATGCGAACTGAGATAAACACAGCTGCACAAGTCCAATACAACCAGAGGCAAGACAGATTAGCTAAATGCCTTGCAGCGATATTTTAATGCTCTACAATATATTATTTTAAAATATAAGTTCAGGAAAATACTTTTTAAATTCATTTATGTATGCTTACCAAAAATGTATATTATATTTACAAACATATTACATGACAGTGCTTAAAAGGCTTTTATAATACTTTGAAGGTAGCGTAGTTTTATTAATATCCTCTCAATTTCCATTTAAATACTTAATTACTATATTTAGCGATTCAATTTATTATATCTTTAAATATTGGCATTTAAAAAAACAAAAACATTGCTTACTTGCTTTAAAGTATTTGCAAATTGTTAGCCTAATAAATTGTTTAATCCGTTCCAAAAAAATGAGGCAGCAAACCTTAAAAGAAATAAGCTGGAGAAACTTCTGAATATTATATATTATATATACTATATACATTTAACCAATTAATTGTTTATGCTTATTAATTTTAACACTTTTGAAACATAATATTATTTGTTTTTATTAATACTTTTGTCAACTCAAAACATTTAACTTTAATAATTTATAATTTCTATAGATTCAACAATTGCATTTTATACTTAAATATTTGCTGTTTAACACAATACGAACTGATTATTATCAAACTGATTTTGAATAATTATTATTATTTAAAAAGGGTTCACCAAAAATAATACAATTATTATTATTGTGACTGATAACGCTATTAATCATTTTTGTCTGATTTAACATTTTGAAGAGTAAAAATTGAAAAATTGTATAGAATTTTAATGTATTTAAAAAAAAAAAAACAATTCAATTATTAATAAAATTCCCCTTATTCCTGTATAAGCAATTATATCGTAGTTTATACTATAATCGACTAAAAATTAAATCTGCCGTGGCAATGACGACTGGACCGATCAAAAGTACACTCTATATATTCACAGAAAACACACCCAATACATTTGTAAAAAAAACACTTAACACTCCCCACTCCGCCGACGATCTCGACCGGATCCCCGAGCACTTGGCGTTAGTCGTTTTCCGATTTTGATGTTGATTCTGTAGATCTCTAGGCCCGAGTCTGTGTCCAGTGGCCCTGTTCGCTTTTTTTCAAGTGTCTCATATGGCAAAATCATCGAAGCATCGCATTACACTGACCCGTTTGGGGTACAGTTTTGCCTTTCTAGTCTGCCATATATATTTGGAAATGTGTAGCACTTGTAATTGTTGCATAGGCAAGGCGGAAGTTTAATAGCTTTGAATGCTACTATAATCTACATATTACAGCTGACTGCAATAAGTCGCAGTGTTTCCCACGTGTGCAGCGGCACCAACAAGTGGCACACCCTTCGAGCTGGCAGCATATTCATAATCACACCCTGCCACACACACATACACTGGCAACAGGCCAACAAGTCGCAAGTGCAACTTGCCATATAGCACGCACCAAGCCCGAAATCAACAAACAAAAAGGGGGAACGCGACATAAATAAGTATATATTAAAACAGACAAAAAACGAGAAAGCAACAACAGCAACAACAGCAACAAGGTAAAAGCATCGCCCATGAAGCAAAGTTCCGACTGCTGCCGTTGCACGTTGCACGATGGTGGTTGTCGATGCTGCTGCTGTTGCTGCTGGTGTTGCTGCTGCTGCTGTTGGCCTAGAGTGGGGAAGTGAGAGACAAGAGCACGGGACAACAAGTGACGGCGAAGGTGGCCGAAATGGCCAGCGCAAATCTTTCAAGAGTAGTTCCGCTTTTTTGTTTCGGCCACATCCGCTTCGAGTTTCGAACTGTCACGAAGAATTCTGTCCGCAGTCAGCCCTCCTCTGATTTCCAACTGTTGATTATCTTTGTGTGCTGATAATTACAATTAAAAGAACGCTGCTGGGCATGTCACTAGGCGTTAAATGTGCGGCACAGACCAACTTCTAGAGTTGGGGGCACCTGACTGCTGCACCGGATGTGGGCGCCGTTTCAAAATCAAAATACTTTAAACTTTTAAATAATTATACCTTAAATATTAATTTTTTTAAATTTCTTAAGTATGTAAATCAAGCCTAAGCTCAATCAATTCAATGCATAAGAAAATAATTAAATATTTATTATTAAATTATTAAATCTGCTTAAACTTATTTGAAATTTAAATATCAATTTTTTTATTTCCGCTAAGTGGCACGTTGTTAGTCAGAAGAGTTCTGTCGGCATTCAGTCCACCTGCGATTTACTGTTGTTTATTATCTTTGTACATTTAATGAGTACAATTAAGAGTACGAGTGTGGGCGTGGGCGTGGCACTAGGCGTGTGCGGCACAGACCAACATCTAGAGCTGGAGAAAGGGGAAGCACACCTGAGCATTTTGATCACTTGATCGCCGCTCCGGAAATGGGCGCCATTTTGTGTGCTCCGCTTGCAGCCTACTCAGTTGGGTTTCTTGCTGCGCATTGGCCAGCAAAAGAGACAGAGATTCAGTTTATAATGATACAGCCAACAATTCGTAACGCTCAAAGTTGTTACGCTTGTTTTTTACGTTACGCTCTATGAGCCTGACTGTGACGGTGTTTTTGGTTTTCATTTATTTTTGTTGGTTTTTTAGCTGTGTTTCTGTTGTGGGTGTATTTCTTTGCGCTTCCATAAGCAGCGCGCCTCAGCGAATCACTAGCGAAACGAGCTCAAAGTGAAATCCGTCACATCAGATACCCACACACACACCCACACACACACCCACACACACACACTTACACTTACCCGGCCCCCTTATCACTTAATATTCTTTTGGGCACACAATTGATTTCGCCGCGTTTCGTATTTGCTGCTTGTCTGCCTCTTTGATTTAGTTATACTTGCCACTCTCTCCCTCTCTCCCTCTCTCTCTCTCTCTCTCTCTCTCTCTGTTTTCTTTCTCTGTCTGTCACTTATCTTTCATTAAGTACATGGCACGCCGTTCGCAGCGCTGATTAACTTGCAAGTCGGATCGTATTCTCATTGGCTATTCAGCTTCGAAGCCTCCCCGAGGGCAATTCCTTACTTTTAGGCAACTTAACTTTTCTGAAAGGCTGTGGAGCGCGGGGGGTAAGCTAATCAATAAATCACTTCAAGGTTTTCTTAATTAAAAGTTTTTTGGCCAACAACAAAACCACAGACTCTCGCTACTCTAATAAACTTTTCTACATGCCATGCAAAAGGCAAAAAAAAAGAACCTCGAAGAACGAAAAATTGATTAACTGCCAGAAGACCACAAAACAAAAAAATATGTAGCATCAACTTCAGCTGAGGACGCAGCAAAGTTTCAAACCCTTTCCAATAAGAAAAACTTTTGCAACTTGAGCAAGAAAACGGGGCAACCCTCAGAGGAGCATGTAAAACTATAAGAGCAGGCAAAAACTATAAACTGTAAACCGTAAACTGTAAGCTGTGAAAACTGAAAACTATTAAACGCTTTAGTCAGGCGGAAAATGAGACAAAATAGTTGCAAACTAAGGCGCACCAAAGAAGCTCAAATATGCTCAGCCTTAATTAAGGGCAGCTTGAGGAAGGCAACACAGCTAAGAGAAGAAAAGAACAGAAGTCCAAAACGAATTCGACTAATTGGCTGGTGTGAAAGAAAAAAAAACAAAAAAAACAAAATCAGCACAATGCCAATGCGACCCAAGGGGCAAATGCTGGAAAAAAGTGTTGTTAAACAACCGCAAAACGACAAGCAAAAATCAAAAGGAATCAAAAGGAAACTCAGCATCAGCAACGTCATCGACCCCACTTGACATTAACCGTTAACCGCTTGAGCTGGCCACACTTATTTCTGCTTTCTTCGAGCATTTCTTAAAATATTTGCCCAAGCCAAACAATGGCAAGCGCCAAGACACAAAACCAAAAAGCTAAACTCTTGCGACAGTTGAGAGTTTGCAGCAAAGACACACACACACACACTCATCTATACACACACACAGACACACACACACACACAGGCACACACACACACATCTATACACACACTACAAATTTAAAGAGAATGCAAAGTTTTGCTTTTGGGGGCTATTGACATAATTTTTGTGGGCGAGTCACACTCAAGGCGTTGGCCAGACACTTGAGGGCCAATTCTGAAGACAAATCCACCCTCAATTAGCTGTTCGAGTTTGCTGCGAGAAGACGTTGTCCTTTTTGCCAAGTGCACCCACCTCACTGTATAAGCCGCATGTTCTTTTGTTAATATTTGTTTTCTTTATTTCGACGACTGTTTGGGTTTCGGTTTCAGTTTATGGTTCTGGTTCTGGTTTGGTTTCATTTACATGCTCGTTATGCGAGTTTTGCCGCAAATTAGCTTTTGTTTCTGTGCTGATTAGGCAGGCGCCTTCTTATTGGCACTTCCGCTACAAGTTTCATTTAGCATATTTCTCAGGCAAAGGGGTCATGTATATATGTATTTATATATTGATAGTTTAAGTGCTGGCTTTATACGACTGGAAGGAAGTGGGTACGCTTGTTGTTTTAGCTTTATCTAATCGTATTGTGGGGCTGATTGTCAAATCTTGTACACACTTTAGATCCTTGATAAACAGCTTTATCAATATTCCATATTCCATATCTAATCAATGGTGAAATATTAACTTGCTTTATTTGCATAGCCATAGCCACATTTATTTGCTTATTCGCTTCAAGTATTATTTCGATTACGATTCACATTTTTTATCGCATTTATGATTGCGCCCTTTGCCATTGTTTGCACTTTGGGTTTCCAGAAAATCTTATCGGAAAATCGCTGCTGAATATGCACTTTGAAACCTTTTTTCTCTTCATTTCTCTCTCTCTCTCTCTCTCACTGTCTGACTGCCTAATATGCATAATTTATGTGCGACCTGTTACCTGTTGTTGTTCCGGCCAAAAGACTTCCGCCAGCAACCAACTAACTAACAAATTAAACGCTCTACTTCCGCTTTCAATGAGCGTCCAATAAGCTTAACGTCCTTATTGCCGCCACCCTTAGTCGCATTTTAGGGTTTCTAGCAAGTTCCCACCATAAAGTCGGCGCCCTTCTGCGGAATTTCCCGGATATTGTTATGTGCCCAACTATTCAAATACATACACATGTATTTGTATTTGTGTGTGTGTGTGTGTGTTAGTGTGTTGATGGCTATGTGAACGCCTTTTCCTTCCGCCGCTCGACACCCACGCCCAAGTTGTTTTACCTCGTGTTCGAGTTGTTGTTGTTTTTGTTGTTAGCAAATTTAAAAAAAAAAGTGCAAAATGATTGCGGTTTCGTGTTTTGCCAGTTCTTGGTGAGTTAGCCACTCAATCCAATACGCACCCCTCCCTCCAGTCCATTTCCTTCGTAGTTTAATGGGAGGGCAACACGCGAGTTCAAATTGCTGTGCGAATAACAGTTGCAAAAGCACTGCACAGTTTGTGATCCCCTTCGCACTGTACTCCAATTAGACTTACCGTTGCTTTCATGTTTAACACAGAGATTGTCAAACTGTTACTTGGACTTTGTTCGCTTGCAAAATGTATCCAACTTGGTCTTAGAGACTGTAAGAATATAAGTTCTCGTATGGCCAACGCTGTTATTATTTATTAAAATATTAAACTAAAATAACTAGGTGGTTTATTTAGAAAAATTAAAGTTTCTATTGGAACTTTATATCCTTACAAATAATTCTTAATTGTTGCTTGCAATTTAACTCTAAAAAATTGTCAGACTTTGAAACCGAATTCTCTTAGTTAAAAGATTAAATTGAAGAAATTTTAAATACTACATTTTTTTCGAAAGCAAACAAACATTCAAGATAATTATTTATTTTCAGTTTGATTTTGTATGCAACCCTAAAAGACTTTTTCTTTTAAACACTGTATTTGTTGGCTGAACATGATGACTCTTAAACTGTAATACTCCCAGTTTGCATACAGTTTGAGGAACACTCACAGCCTGAATTTTGGATGCTCAACTGAAACTGAAGCTCAAATGAATATTTATTGCAAAGGATAATTATTTTTTTTGTTGTTTTTTTTTTTATAGGATTATGTGTATTTTTTGCATTTAAAAAAATATAATATAATATCACTTATAGTTCTAAATCTGTAAACAATTTTCACTCGAGTTGTTTATTTTTTTACTTGGCTGTTGCTTTTCCATTCTTTGTACTGTGCTGCTGCTCGTTGACACATTTTGAGGCAATATCAGCATAAGGCAATTTCCATTTGGGTGGCTGATGAATGAAGTATGATGTATACATGATGTATGTTTTGATGTAGGTAAGAACATTGAACATTAATGCTACTTGGTGAGGTTCTTGCGCTGCTCGGCGACATCCTTCTCATTCAGATGGATCACGCGGCGTCCGAAGCGAGCCGTTAGCTTGGAGAAGAAACCCACACGGGAGGCGGGCTTGGTGTCGTCCGCCGACAGCGGCGGCGCCTGATAGCTGGCCTCCGCCTCCTCGCCACTGTTGGCGGAGGTGCCGCGTCCATGCTTCCCCGTGCGACCCTGGCCAAAGTGAAACGTTGCACGTGCCGCATTGCTGCGCGTGAAGGGCTTGTTATCCGAGGCTGAGGACGAGGCAGATGTGGATGTTGAAGTGGGCGTGGCAGCGTTCACTTTGGAGTCTGTTGGTAAGTGCAGTCGCTCCAGCAGCCGACCCTCCTTGGGTGACTTGGGCGCCAGCATTGCAGTCGTTGTTGCTGCTGCTGCTGCTGCTGTTGCTGCTGCTGTTGTTCCTGTTGTTGTTGTGGGCGTGGTTGAATCCGCCTTCTCGTAGAGCGTTGCCGGTCGTCGCACAGAGCCTTGGTAGTGAAAGCGTTGCGGACTATTCACCTTCTTCTGCGCCTGGGCCAATTGCCGCTGGGCGCTGAGAAGCGTCGGCTTCACATCCGCTGACCGCTTGCCCTGCGGCGTCTGCGGGGAGCGATTGCGACTGGGTGTCGCCGCTGAGCTGGAGATGGCGCTGGTGATTGTGGGTACTGTCTTGCGGGCTGGTGTGCGCCGCGTTGGTTTGGCTGGTGGCGCTGTGGGCGTGGCAAGGGCGTTGACAACACGCGGCGGCAGTGGACGATTCGTTGACGAGAGACTCTTCTCGAGGGGCAGCATCACTTGGGCACTGCTCGCAACGGGTGCAGACGTGTTCTCCGTTGAGCTGGTCTGGGAACTGTGTGGCCGGGAGACACTGAGGAGCATGTAGGTGCAGTAGATGTCATCGAAGGCCTGATTCTTGAGAGATGCCTCCACATCGCGTCGCTTGTAGCCCATGCTGACCAGCCGATCGATACGTTGGACATCCTGCAGCTCCATCGGCCTCTCGCGATATGGTCGCAATCGGTCCGCTTCGTCGTTGTAGCCCAAATTGATCCACTTGTCGCTCATCACACCGTTGAGGGTTGTCCGCTTGGCCGGATTGAGGACTAGGAACTTACGCATCAGATTCTCACAGTCCATCGAGATGTAGTAGGGCACCCGGTACTTGCCGCGCAGCACACGCTCCCGCAGCTCCTTGAGTGTGCCGCCGTCGAAGGGCAGCGAGCTGCTGACCAACGTGTAGAGAACAACGCCCAGTGACCAGGCATCTACCTCCGGTCCGGCATACTTGCGACCCATGAACAGCTCCGGCGCCGCATACGGCGGACTGCCGCAGAACGTCTCCAGCTGGGCGTTCGGATCGAAAGTGTTGCCAAAACCAAAGTCGGCAATCTTAATGTTCATGTGCGCATCGAGCAACAGATTCTCCGCCTTCAGATCGCGGTGGACAACGAATTTGCTATGACAATACTGAATGGCCGAGACCAGCTGCCGGAAGATGACGCGAGCATCGCGCTCGTACATCCGTCCGTTCTTCACCAGATGATCGAATAGTTCGCCACGACTGGCATACTCCATGATGAGATAGAGCGTGCGCTCCGATTCGATCACCTGGAAGAGGCGTACGATGTTCGGATGGTTCAGCAACTTCATGATCCGCACCTCGCGGTACAGCTTCTGGCGGGCGCTCGTGTTCAGCTGCGTCTTGTCGATCACCTTGATGGCCACCTCACGGCCGGTTGGGACGTGCAGGGCCAGCTTCACCTTGGCAAAGTTGCCTTTGCCCAAGGTCTTGATGATCTTGTAGACGCCGTTGCCATTGCCGTTCACATACGTCTGGAACTTGAGCTCCGTTCCGTCAGCGACATCCTGGCCGCCGTTGGTCTTACTGCTTATTCGCACCGTTGCGCTGCTGGGTGTGGCGGGTTCCGCCTTGGCTGTACCGGTTGCAATTGCTGTTGCAATTCCGCTCGGGGATTGACTGTTGCGATTCTCTTTTTCAGCTGTTTTAAATGTTTTCGGCGCTTTCTCGTCAACGGCGGCAGCTGTTGCTTTTATTTTGGGCGCACTCTCATCTGCCAAGCTAAATTCAACAATTTCTAAATGTTTATCGGTTGACATTTTAGACAACAAGCAAACTCAATTTCCAAACATAAAAATAAAAAAAAACTAAACCGATCTCAGCTCAACCAACACAGTTGCACACTGAAGCAGTTCCTCCCTCCTCTCAGCTCGCCCAGTTAAACGCATGCCGGGCACGCGTCCCTCCAATCGGGAGTTGGATGTTCTGTTCCCTCGCTTTAATTGTTGACTCGCCTCAGCTCAATAATAGGTTTTCCACACACGGCACATCTGCTCTTTTTTTTCAGTCTTTTTTCTTTTTTTGCTGGCACCCTTGTGGGCCGCAAGCTTTAAGATAAGAACTGTGCTGGCGCGTGTTGTGCGTTGTTGTTGCTGTATTTTCTCAACCCTCAGGGTTCAGCGTTCAGCTGGCATTCATGGCTGATAAGCAGCGCGTCCTCGTCCTCGTCCTCGTTCTCGTTCTCGTCCTCGTTCTTGTCGTCGACAGGATCGCTTTGTCTCGCCCCGTCGACCCACCGCATGAGCTGTAATTTCTTCTTTGTATATTTAACAACCCCCTCGACAGACAGTCAGAACCGGAGCCGTAGTCAGAGTCGGAGGCAATGCTTCATATGGCACGAGCGAGTAACTCAATGAGCCTTTTATTGTCCTCGTCCGTCCGGCTGTCTTTGATGACGCTGCTGATTTGATCGTGTGCGGCTCCTGCTCCTACTCCTGCTGCTGCCGCTGCTCTTGGTGTCACATTAACATCCAGTTCGCTTATTTCAAAGTGTCAGCAGCTGCCTGTAAAGAAAAACAGTAAAGTATTCCATTACAGGTAACAGCGAAAGCGAATTCGATCAGCTTGCAATCGAAGTGCTTGCAACATAAGCACAATAAATCAATTAAATACGGCTTGTTTTGACATGTTTCCTAAGCGTTATGTACATGTCTGGAAATGCGGTTCTTAAAAACATCAAAAGAAGATCTCAGCTATTCAAATACCATAATAGATCAAAACAAATGTTAATATTTTTGAATACAAGACTTATACTTATACAAGGAACACAGCTCTGATATATGTAAAGATATACTTGAAGTTATATATAGTATAGATTTCTGGATGATAGGTACTTTTTCGATTATTGATAACTTTAACATTTAAGCTGTAGAAGATAAAGTCATAAAAATTATATCAAATAGATAAGAGCATTTAACAATTTGTTTCTGACAAATCTTCCCAACTAAAGATCTTTTTGACTCTATTTGATTTTTATCCTCGCTAAATACAACTCTTGCAACGATCTTCTGCGAATACAAAATATATTTTTATTACCTAAATATTTTCATCATATTAATTCTGGCAATGATCATTTGCATTTTCGTTTACTTTTGCACCACTGTGCACAGCCGCTGTTTGGTTGCCTCGATTACAAGTACAATTGCTCTCCCTCTCTCGCTCTCTCTCTCTCTCTCTCTCTCTCTCTCTGGCAATGCGACCATTCTTTCACTTCTGTCTTGATTCCCTCTTGTTTTGCACTTACATTTCGCTTGCATATCCTGCGATCTGCAACTACCTAGCCGAACAACCCTCACAACTGCCTGCCTACAAACAACAATAAATGAGAAAAAAAAAAGAAATTAACTCATGCAACAACTGCAAACTACACACAACAAAGGAATCGAAACTGGTCCTTAATCTGGCTTTTCCCTTCGCCTCAGCATTCGCTCGCCCCGTGCGACGTGTAACAATTTCTCGTACACACTTTGAGCTCTCGCACACACACACACTCATATGACCAGGCCAGGCCAGGCCAGCCTGTGTCCTTGATCCTGCTTACTTGTTTTCGGTTTTTTTGTTTTCGTTGTTGTTATTGCTGTGCTGCCTTTGCAACATTTTCTCAAATTTAGCCATCGTCATTCGTCCCATTCCCTCATTCTCAACGAACCAGCCAACCAACCAACCCCGACTGCCTTCCACTCTTTTCTCTCTCTTCCAGCCTGCTCGCCTGCTCGGCTGCCTGCCTGCCTGCCTGACAGACTTGTCTGTTCGTTTTTGTCGTCTCCTTTTATTGCTGTTGTCGCTTCCTCTTCTTACTCTGCCCGGCTGTGTGCTCCTTTCTTTGACTGTGCGTGTGTGTGCGAGTATGTGTGTATGTGTGTATATGTGTGTTTGTGTTTGTGTGTGTGTGTGTTGGTGTTGCGTTTATTCGTAATTCAATTGCAGCTGCTTCTTTTGTGCTTTTGTATTATTTTTGGCCAACGCACACGTTTCCTCTGCTGCTGCGATTCGCAATGTCGGCTAACCAACAACAACAACAACAACAAAATCAGCAAGAGACACTTGTTTGTTAATTCCCCGAATTGGCAATAGTCATGAGCAGTGTCGACATACATATTTGGTCGATTTAAATGTACACAGCTTGAGAACGATCGCCAACACTTGCCACACTTGCAAGCAGCTCAGTTCAATGCACCACAAGAGACCCCCCCACCCCACACATGGATACACATCTGTGCACACATATATGATCAGTCTATTTTCGACATTATTTAGACTAAATTTTACTAAACTGCTGTTGGTCTTACCTGCGAAGCTTCATCAACTAAACTTCAACTATTTTCATTTTAATTGATTTGAATACACAAATTAATGTGATTTAATTAACTGTATTATTTGGTTGAACATGGCTGTGGCATGTACGTGGTTAGTCAGTTATTCAAACACTGGCAGAACTTGGCTTCCCCCCATATGCAGATGGCTCTTTTTTTTTTTGCTTCATGGAAGCTTGGGGAGCGTTCTGAGGGACAAAGCGTTAACATTCAAGTGTGTCGCCTTTGTGGCTTTGTTGTTGCTTGCTGGCACTTTAGCGCCTTCTTCTCATTTCTTCTTTTGCCCCATTCTATTTTGGTTCTCATTCTTGTGCGCCGATCTCAGCAGCAGCAGCAACAACAACCCCCTTCTCCTTTAGTCGAACAAAAGACAACCAACTCTCTCGAACTGTTTGCCTGCTCCTCTCTCCTCTTCTCTGCTCTCCTTTGCTCAACGTCCTTCCTTGATGTTTATCGGGCGCTGCGTTAGGCAAAAGCAGAAGAAGACGACGACGACAAACAGAACTCTTCCCACTGAGTCATCAGAGACCAGGAAACTGCCCACAGCTCGCCAACTGCCCAACGGCGTCTTCGTCTTTGTTTTTCCCCCACTTTTTCTCTGTGTTCGCTCTCGCTCTCTCTCTCTCTCTCACTCTCTTTGTGGTTCTCTGTTCTGCTTCTTGTTGTGCGTTTGTGTCTTTAGCTTACTTTTCTAGTTTTCCCATCGATCTTTTGCCCTTGGTTAGGCAGGCACAGAACCAACACACACACACACACATACATATACATGCTTGTGCTTCATTAACGGCCCGGCAACACTTAATTGTTTCATTGTTTCTACTTTGACACTATTTCCGAGGAACGATTTCTGACTATAAGTTTTTATTTTCGTCAGCTCAGCGTTGAGCATTATTTTGAGCACTTGAATCTATCTCAATTCCCCCGCTGGGATTGATCGCTGAATCGCTTCGTTTATTAATAAAAAATACAACAACAAAAAACGCCTCTTTAAATGCAAAAGAAGAACGCCCACTTGCTGCAGCACCACATGCTGCAGATGGCAAGCAGCGACACAAGACAGATCCCAAAACTGACTGAGAGAAGCGAAACGGCGATAAGACAACAACTGATCATGGCAAGTCCCCATGGAGCTGCAAGCTTATCTTCTGCTATGACCGATATCGTAAAGCAGAAATTGGAAAAGAGACCAACGCGGCTCCAAAGATAATTGCACATTTTACTTACGTTCCGTTCCGTTCCCTCCCTGTTCGTTCCCCTGGGCAGCAATCAAAAACAAATTAAAGTTAATCCGAAATCCAAAAATGTATCGACGACTCTGCGCGACGAACTACAAGATACAAAGCGCGTCGTTCTACTGAACGCACAACTCAACTGAGGCCCAGTTCCAGATCTCACACACATACACACACACACACTGATACACATACCGATGCACGCGTCTGAGACAAGCAGCGTCACAAAGAGAGTGAGAGAATCTTAAGGAACTGCACAAGAGAGCGGCGAGAATGCGGTGCGATGAGCACGTGAGAGACCCACACTCACTTTACTTCACCTCTCATCGTTGCTTTTGGCACATTACACGCTCATTCTGTTGTTGCTGCTGCTGCTGTTGCTGTTGCTGCTCAAGCGTTGAAGGTCGTTGCGTTTCTTTGAGCGTTTCTTGAGCCGTGACGTCACAGGTAGACAACAATGACGACATCGTCTGTGGTGAGGGGAAATGTTCGTTGGCTGCCTGGCCACAACAATGCACAGCGCACTTCGGCTTCGCCAGCGAGTTCGACTTCGACAACGACTCCGTCTTCGTCTTCGTGTCTGCGGCGAATTTGTCGTCAATTTGCTTTTGTAGTGGTTCCAAATGGCTCTCGCCTCAACACATCTCCTCCTTAAACCTTAGTGGTGTGAGTTTTCTTAGTGTAGTTTGCTGTCGTCGCGGTGGTAGTTCGCCCCTATTGCCGACTCTTTCTAATTGTGCTGTGGTGTGCGTGTGTGTGTGCGTGTGTGTGTTGCTTGAAGTTTTCTTATTCGCCGTTCGCTCGTGCATTGTATTTGTAACTGGTATCTTATCGTTAAATCAAGTGTACGTGTGGGTGTCTGGGCAGGGGACCAATAAGAATGCGGCACTCTCAAAGTGAATTCCACTGGCAAACCAACTGTTTCATACACAATGCCAGCAAGCAAAAACGGCCAAAGCAGATTGATTAAAAACAACAAGAAAAAAAGAGAAAAAAAAACACAAGCAAAAGTTGCCATACCGAATAAATAATAAAATGCATTTGGTTTTACCCATTTTATTTTTCTCATTTAAATGAAAAGAAAAATTATAATGACAAAGTAGGCGACAAGAGATTATGAGTAGAGCCCAACGTGGGGCGGGGTGCGTGGTCCGGGCGAGTGTCGACTACTCGGACGTTGCAGAAAACAGATGCAGATGCAGATGCTGATGATTATAATAACAGTTTTTGTGATTTTTGCTTGA